GACGACGAGGGGGAGGAGGAAAGGAGGGGCCGCGTGGCCCTCGTCGTGCCGAGGTCTGGCGTCAGATGGATGTCCAATGGGGGGCCTCTTAGTTCCCGCCCGCCCAAAATAATCCATGGGCTTTTGCCGCCACCGCTGGCTCGCGTTGCTCTGCGTTGCATTGCGTGGTTCCGGGGCGCGTCCGGAACCGTCCCGGGGTGTAAACGGGTTGCAGGTGGCCACAGGGAAACGCTGCAGTCTTGCGCGCGCACGGCGCGGTCATCTGCGTGTTTTCCTTTTCCAGGAAAACTGCTGTGGTGCCTTGCATTGCGTTGCTACGGGGATCGCTACGGGGTTTCGTAGGAATGTTTTCCTAAGTTTAGCGCTGGATTCGCGAGCGGCTCGCGCCGTTCCGCCGTCCGTGGGCTCTCCAGGGCCCCCCCGCGGAGTTGCGGGGTGCTTTCCTTCGTTGCGCGGTGCCTTCCTTCGTTGCGCGGACGGTGCTGCCCTGGTCGGGCCAGACAATGCGGCGCCATGCTGTGCCGCGCGGTGTTGTGCCGTGTGTGCTCGCTGGGCTGCCGTGCAGTTCTGCTCTGTGATTGGGCGTGTGCCTGGCCGTCAATTGCCGTGGTTGGCTTGTCCTGCTTTGCGTCTTGGAGAGCGGCTCGGTGTTTCAACGGAGACATTTCGCCAGAATCTAATACTTGCGCCGCGTTGCAGTGCCCGCGTTGTGTTGCGGCGATTTGCACTGCGATGTTACAGTGACACGCTGCAGTCTTATGGTTTCCGTGCTGCAGATTCCAGAGTGGAGGGGCGCCCGCCCAGCTGGGCGTTTGCATGGGCAGTGCGATGTCCGCAGCGCGGGGTGCTGCGCATGGTGCCGCGCCGTGCTGTGCCGCGATGTGCGTGCTCGCCGAGCTGCCGCGCCGTTGCGTGCTGAAGGTTGACGGTTTGTCCATGTTCCCGTATGCGGTGGAGAGCAGCATATTGGCGCAGCGGAGGCGCAGGCACATTTTGTTGGATTATTCCGCGTGGTTCGGCGCGGCAGAATGATCTTCGCTGCGTTCTGCATTGCGTTGTCAGGGGCGCGCTGCAGTCCGAGTGGCTCGTTGCAAGCTCGGGGAACCCGCTGATCGCGCGGAGGTCCCGTGAATTTCCTGGCGTGGTTCCAGTGCCTTTGCATCGGTGTGCACTGCTTCGCTTCGGGCGCGCGTTGCAGTTCCGTGATGCGCGCGCTGCCGTGCAGTGTTTGCTGTGGCGTGGTGCCCGCGTTGCGGTCCATGGACTTGACCTGCTTGTCCCCTGACTCTGTTTTCGTTGCCTTGTACGTCTCTCTCTCTCTCTCTCTCTCTCTCTCTCTCACTGCGTTGCTACGGGAACGCGCAGCGGTCCGATGGGTCCGCTTTGTGGGAATCCACTTGGTGATGCTCGTGCTGGCTTCCTAGTTTTTTTTGCATTTTAATAATGGCATCCTTTGATTTCACAGCGATCGTGTGTTCTATTGCTTGGCTATTATTCGTGCTCGTTTTCGAATTGCTTCTGGATTGTGGTACTGACCTGACATTCTTCGATTTCATATTCGTGCTTGTTTTCAAATTGCTTCTGGATTGTGGTACTGACATTCTTCGGTTTCACAGCCATCGTGTGTTCTGCAGCTTGGCTATCCGGGTTTTGGACAACAACAGGTTGCTGGAAGCTTAAGAGTAATTCCGGCGCGCTGGAGAGCTAGTTGGCAAGGAAAATCTCGACGGACGTTTTGGTGACTTTTGGTCGGTTGAAACTTTTGTTCTCGAAATTCCTCAATTCGTTTGAGCTCTAGTATTTTTTCCCGTGATATTCGATCTCATTCCCGCTCGCTATCTTGATCTCAGCTCGATCGGGTACTTTTTACTGCCAAAAAGCGTCCAGGCGGGATCGGCCGTTTCGAGTCGGTTCGTCTGTTGCATCCAGAGGTCTGAACTCGGTCTGCTAGTCGAGCTAGGTCCGCAAAGCCTATTCGTATTATTCGAGTCATCTTGACAGGCACTCTCGGTTTTCTGTACTTAACTCGAGCCGTATGACAGCTACAGAGCTGATACTTACAGAAAGAATGATCAGTCGCGGTTCTCTCATGAATCTAGAGCTCTGAAATCGGTCTGCTGTTCTACCTATAATCGCGAAACTATTTGTATTGTTCGAGTCATGTTGAGAGATGCTGTCGGTTTTCTGTACTTAACTCGGGCTGTAGGGGGGCTACAGTGCTGGTAGTCACAGGAATCGATTTGGAGACATCAGGCGCGTGCGCCTGTCGAATCCAGATCTCGGAACTCAGTCTGCTGCCCGAACTAGGTCCGCGAAACTATTCGTATTGTTCGAGTCATCCTGAGAGGTGCTGTCGGTTTTCTACACTTAACTCGGGCTGCAGGGGGGCTGCAGGGCTGGTGATCACAGGAATCGATCCAAAGACATCAGACGCGTCCGCCTGTCGCATTCAGAGGTCTGAACTCGGTCTGATACTCGAGCTAGGTTCGCCAAACTATTCGTATGTTCGAGTCATGTTGAGAGGTGCTGTCGATTTACGCACGTACCTCGGGCTGTAGAAGAGCTACAGAGCTCGTACAGAAGACAATCGAGAGGCATCGGGGGCGTTCCGCTGTTGCATCGAGAGGTCTGGTGTCGCTTGGGCTGAACAACTATTCGTTCTCTGCAATTTTTTCGGCATCATATATTGTCAGGAAGCTCTACGAGTCCCCCGGCGGTCAGAAAGGTTGACGGTTCACCGCCAGCGCCCAGTAACACGTAGAGCTTCCCTCAGCAAGTTGTTGCTGGAAGCTTAAGAGTAATTCTGTGGCGCTGGAGAGCTAGTTGGCAAGAACAATCTCGACGGACCTTTTGGTGAGGTTGAAAATTTTGTTCTCGAAATTCCTCAATTCGTTTGAGCTCTAGTATTTTTTCCCGTGATATTCGATCTTATGCCCGCTCGTTATCTTGATCTCAGCTCGATCGGGTTCCTTTTACTGCCAGAAAGCACACGGGCGGGATCGGCCGTTTCGAGTCATCTTGATGCGCGCTGTCAGTATTGGCCTCAACTCGAGATACAGGACAGCTACACTGCTGGTAAGCGCACCTTATCGATTCAGAATGATCAGACGCGTCCGTCTGTTTCATCTAGAGGTCTGAACTCGGTCTGCTAGCCGAGCTAGGTCGGTAAACCTATTCGTATTATTCGAGTCATCTTGACAGGCACTCTCGGTTTTCTGTACTAAACTCGAGCTATAGGACAGCCACAGAGCTGATGCTTACCGAAACCAATTCAGAATCATCAGTCGCGTTTGTCTGTTGAATCCAGAGCTCTGAACTCGGTCTGCTGCCCGATCTAGAATCGCGAAACTATTCGTATTGTTCGAGTCATCTGGAGAGGTGCTGTTGGTTTTCTGCACTTAACTCGGGCTATAGGGGGAAATCGATTTGAAGACATCAGGCGCGTCCGCCTGTCGAATCCAGAGCTCAGAACTCGGTCTGCTGCCCGAACTAGGTCGGCGAAATTGTTCGTATTGTTCGAGTCATCCTGAGAGGTGCTCTCGGTTTTCTGCACTTAACTCGGGCTGCAGGGGGGCTGCAGGGCTGGTAATCATAGGAATCGACTCGAAGACATCAGACGCGTCCGCCGGTCGCATTCAGAGGTCTGAACTCGGTCTGATACTCGAGCTGGGTTTGCCAAACTGTTTGTTTTGTTCGAGTCATCTTGAGAGGTGCTATCGATTTACGCACGTATCTCGGGCTGCAGGAGAGCTACAGAGCTCGTGCAGAAGACAATCCAGAAGCATGGGGGGGGGGCGTTCGGCTGTCGCATCGAGAGGTGTAAAACTATTCGTTCTCTGCAATTTTCTTTCAACATTATATATGGTCAGGAAGCTCTACGAGTCGCCCCCCGGCGGTAAGAAAGGTTGACGGTTTACCGCCGGCGCCCATTGCGACCCCAACCCCCACTGTAACTCGTAGAGCTTCCCTTAGCAAGTACCTCGTAGAGCTCTTCGTTGTCGATGAGCTAGAGGAATTCCGGCGCGGGGTGGAGCTAGTTGGCCGACCCGACCAGAAAGGACAAAGTGGTGACTTTGGGTCGGTTTTGCTCAGATTTGAAAGGTATTTGACAATTCAGTTTGAAAAAGCAGATTTTTACGCCGAGCATTGGCATATAAACTTCGTTCTCTCAGCAGCTCAGCTCTCTAGAGCCAGTTTTAGTACCAGTTGACTTCCCGGAACCGACTTCATTTTCACTCCGAAAATATCAATAGAAAAACTCCAAGAAGCTCTCCGCTTCGATGCTCAGCTTTCTTACGGGTGCAAGGAACTCTACTTCTTGAGTGCGTTATCAGACATTCAGTTATCACACATCTGACGTGAGCATACGACTCTTGTCTTACCGCGGGTTGTTACGACATCTTTCGGACCTTGTGTTTGCGTTGACTCTTGCCAGGCTGTGTGTGTGTGTCGGACATGCGCACATGTTGGTTTAAGAGCTCCGCGTGATCTTCACTTTGTTCGGAATAAGAGTTTTGCATTTGCCCACTCCCGCTCAAAGAGTGGTGGGTGTCTTGCCTGACTCTGTGCACAGTCGACCGCAAATTCGTTGTGTTTCACGTGCATGGTCTTTCAGTGGTGCTGAGACGGTAATCGCTATATGTGGTTACTGCATGGTCTCGCATTACTTTGAAGTGTACTCGTCATTTTAGTTGTTAGTTTTGTGTTTGTCTCAGTGGTGTTGAGACGGTAATCGCTGTATAATCCAGTGGTTACTGTATGGTCTCTCACTGCTTCTATTCTTAGTGGTGCTGAGACGGTAATCGCTATATGTGGTTACTGCATGGTCTCGCATTGCTTTTACTCCCTCTTTATATTTTAGTTGTATTCTCGTGTGTTGGCAGTCTTGTGCATATCTGTACAGCTTCGCTGTTTGATGCATCTCTGCTTCAATCTTTGCAGCTTCGCTGTCTTCCTGTACAGCTTCGCTGTTTAGGTTCTTTGTGTTTAGGCCTGCTCCCATGGGAGCTCGAACCGGCCTTCGCAAAAGACGCAGAAAGACCAGGTTGCCGCTGTCCCTCCTCGGGGATCTCAGCGGTGGCCTGGCCCGTCGGGGGCCTCCTCAAGCCTGTCTCCTCAGGCTGCCCCCTGGGCGGCCGTGTGCGCGCGGGCGGGCCGTGCGATGGCGGCTTGAGCACCTCTTGTCTCTGCAGTGGGTGGAGTCAGATTTGTTGTGTGAGTACCCCTTGCTGTGTGGTGCCATGACAACGCAATTTTGTACCTCGTCGACTTCTACTTTGCATGCCATCTCCTATCCTGTTTCTTCTTCCCCATCCTCGTCGTGGCGGCGGAGAGCGAGAAGGCTGAGACTCGCCATGTTTCGACAAGCCCTCTTTGACATCCATACTCTGCAGTGCGTTCCAGTGGGGATGCAGTCTCCAGAGGTGGTGCAGTCTCCAGCCGTGGGGCAATCTCCAGAGATCCGTGTGCCAGAGGCTCTGGGTGTGATGACTGAGTCTTTCGACGGAGTCGCTAAACCCGATGGGCCAACTGATCGTGGGAAAGCTTTCTCGTCCTATTCTGTTGCTTGTTCTCCAGATGCGGTGCAGTTTCCAGATGGTGTGCTGGTTTCTGTTTCTTTTCTTCCTGGTGTTCATAATGAGGAGTTGCAGGACGAGGAGTTGCAGAATGAGGATTTGCAGAGTGAGGAGGTGCTGAATGAGCAGTTGCATTATTCTCAGCATACTTTTTCTTTTGATTTCAGCTCTGAAGTTTGCCACGCTTCATCTCCGGACGCTCCGTCGGATTGTCTTGGGAAGGCTGGGCAGGAATATCTTCAGGTGTGGAAGGAGGTGGAGGAGTCTCCTGATGTGGTGCAGCCTCGAGATGTGTTACAGTCTTCGGAGGGTGTGCTGCAGTCTATACTGGTTTCTGTCTCTATTGACCCTGCGGTTCTGAATGAAGATTGGCAGGACAATCTTAAGAAGGTGATGGGCGATGAGGTCGAGCATGTTCAGCCTGATTCTGCGGTTGACTGGAGCTCTTCAGTAACTAACAACAACAGCAAAAACTCGGAAGTGGTTTCTGTTTCTGTTGATCCAGGTGTTCTGAAAGAGGAGTTGCATGATGAGGAGTTGCAGGGTGAGGAGTTGCAGAATGAGGAGTTGCGGAATGAGCAGTTGCATTGTTCTCATTATAAAGATTCTATGATTTCACACCCTGGGAGTTCAACGACTGGGAGTTTATCTAATGCAGTTGTGAGTTCAGCAGTGACGGAGGACGAGTGTCAAGCTGCCAGGGACTGGGCCCTTGCCGGTGTCGATGTCAGTGCTCTTTGGCGTGAGCTACACCGACTCCCGAGACAGGAGTTTCAGCGTAGGACTGAGGCTCTTCATGCATACAGGCTGCAATTGGGAATTGAAAGTTCCGAGGAGGATGATTCGCAACAAGGGGGTCCTCAGAGTTCTACTTCCAGGAGTGCATTGACGCGGAGCGGCAAGAAGCATCGGAAACGGCACAGATGATGCACATGTGATTGATCCTGCACGCTTGATTTGTCATTGCGTTGCCTTTCTTCATGCGCGTGTGTGTTGTCGTGCATGCGCGTGTGTTGAATAAGAGCTTCGCTTGATCCCTCAAAGTAGGTCATTCGTTGCTTCCTTGATTTGAGTGCTCATTGACCTTTGAACGTGACTTTCCGTGATTTGTCACGTGGTGCCTCAAAGTAGGCCTTTGATCTTATCTGCATTCTGACCTTTAATCTCTTGTGCATTCTCAGTGGTGTTGAGACGGTAGTCGCTGTATAAACCAGTGGTTACTGTATGGTCTCTCACTGCTTCTCGTGTGGTCGCTGTATAAACCAGTGGTTACTGCGTTTCACTGTTTTAGTGTTATATTCTTGTGTATGGGCAGTCTTGTGCATATCTGTACAGCCTCGCTGTTTGATGCACCTCTGTTTTAATCTTTGCAGCTTCGCTGTCTTCCTGTACAGCTTCGCTGTTTAGGTTCTTTGTGTTTAGGCCTGCTCCCATGGGAGCTCGAACCGGCCTTCGCAAAAGACGCAAAAGACCAGGTTGACGGTTTACCGCCGGCGCCAGTTATTGCTGGAAGCTTACGGGTAATTCCGGGGCGCTGAAGAGCTAGTTGGCAAGACAAATCTCGACGGACCTTTTGCTGACTTTTGGTCGGTTGAAAACTTTGCTCTCGAAATTCCTCAATTCGTTTGAGCTCAAGTATTTTTCCCGTGATATTCGATCTTATTCCCGCTCGCCATCTTGATCTCAGCTCGATCGGGTACCTTTTATTGCCAAAAAGCACACGGGCGGGATCGGCCGTTTCGAGTCATCTTGATACGCGCTCTCGGTATATTGGACTTAACTCGAGATACAGGACAGCTACAAAGCTGGTGAGCACACCTTATCGATTCAGAATAAGCAGGCGCGTTCGTCTGTTGCATCCAGAGGTCTGAACTCGGTCTGCTAACCGAGCTAGGTCCGCAAACCTATTCGAATTATTCGAGTCATCTTGACAGGCGCTCTCAGTTTTCTGTACGCTATATGACAGATACAGAGCTGATACTTACAGAAACCGATTCAGAATCATCAGTCGCGTTCGTCTGTTGAATCCAGAGCTCTGAACTCGGTCTGCTGCCCGATCTAGAATCGCGAAACTATTCGTATTGTTCAAGTCTTCTTGAGAGGTGCTGTCGGTTTTCTGTACTTAACTCGGGCTGTAGGGGGGCTACAGTGGTGGTAGTGACAGGAATCGATTTGGAGACATCAGGCGCGTCCGCCTGTCGAATCTGGAGCTCGGAACTCGGTTTGCTGCCCGAACTAGGTCCGCGAAACTATTCGTATTGTTCGAGTCATCCTGAGAGGTGCTGTCGGTTTTCTGCACTTAACTCGGGCTGTAGGGGGGCTGCAGGGCTGGTAATCACAGGAATGGATTCGGAGACATCAGACGCGTCCGCCTGTCGCATTCAGAGTTCTGAACTCGGTTTGATACTCGAGCTAGGTTTGTCAAACTATTCGTATTGTTCGAGTCATCTTGAGAGCTGCTGTCGATTTACGCACGTACTGTAGGAGACAGAGCTCGTACAGAAGACAATCCAGAAGCATCGGGGGCGTTCGGCTGTTACATCGAGGTGTCTGAAATCGCTTGGCCTGGAAAATTATTCGTTCTCTGCATTTTTTTCGAAATTATATATACTCGGGAAGCTCTACGAGTCCCCCGGCGGTAAGAAAGGTTGACGGTTTACCGCCGGCGCCCAGTTGAATTCTGAAAATTGTCACGCACAATTTCCTGGCAGAAGAGCTTCCCCAACTTCCGCCAGTTCCATGTGGCGATAGATACCGCCTGGGTGTCGAGCCAGGCGTCGGGGCCCCGCTACTCGGTGGAGTAAAGGCAGCCTTGAACTGCGCGAGCTTGAATAACTCGTGGAGCTTCCCTGAGCAAGTTATTGCTGGAAGCTTAAGAGTAATTCCGGCGCGCTGGAGAGCTAGTTGGCAAGAAAAATCTCGACGGACCTTTTGGTGACTTTTGGTCGGTTGAAAATTTTGTTCTCGAAATTCAACCATTCGTTGGAGCTCTAGTTTTTTTTCCCATGATATTCGATCTTATCACCGCTCGCCATCTTGATCTCAGCTCGATCGGGTACCTTTTACTGCCAAAAAGCGTCCAGGCGGGATCGGCCATTTCGGTTCATCTTGATACGCGCTCTCGGTATATTGGACTTAACTCGAGATAGAGGACAGCTACAGAGCTGGTAAGCACACCTTACCGATTCAGAATGATCAGGCGCGTTCGTCTGTTGCATCCAGAGGTCTGAACTCGGTCTGCTAGCCAAGCTAGGTCCGCAAACCTATTCGTATTATTCGAGTCATCTTGACAGACGCTGTCCGTTATCTGTACTTGACTCGAGCTCTATGACAGCTACAGAGCTGATACTTACAGAAAGCGATTCAGAATCATCAGTCGCGTTCGTCTGTTGAATCCAGAGCTCTGAACTCGGTCTGCTGCCCGATCTAGAATCGCAAAACTATTCGTATTGTTCGAGTCATCTTCAGAGGTGCTGTCGGTTTTCTGTACTTAACTCGGGCTGTAGGGGGCTACAGTGCTCGTAGTCACAGGAATCGATTTGGAGACGTCAGGGGCGTCCGCCTGTCGAATCCAGAGCTCGGAACTCGGTCTGCTGCCGAACTAGGTCCGCGAAGCTATTCGTATTGTTCGTGTCATCCTGAGAGGTGCTGTCGGTTTTCTGCACTTAACTCAGGCTGTAGGGGGGCTGCAGGGCTGGTAATCACAGGAATGGATTCGGAGACATCAGACGCGTCCGCCTGTCGCATTCAGAGTTCTGAACTCGGTTTGATACTCGAGCTAGGTTTGTCAAACTATTCGTATTGTTCGAGTCATCTTGAGAGCTGCTGTCGATTTACGCACGTAACTCGGGCTGTAGGAGAGCTACAGAGCTCGTACAGAAGTCAATCCAGAAACATCGGGGCGTTCGGCTGTTGCATCGAGAGGTCTGAAATCGCTTGGGCTGAAAAACTTCTGCAATTTTTGTTTCGTCATGATATATTGTCAGGAAGCTCTACGAGTCCCCCGGCGGTAAGAAAGGTTGACGGTTTACCGCCGGCGCCCAGTGTGGAATCGATGCGAAGCAGTGCTGTCTCATCCAACAACCAGTGATCCGTACGGTCGGTCCTGACAGGTGCAACACACGCTCCGTCTGTGTACTGGAGGCTAGGATACGTTGAGACGAACGTCGTCGGAGGGCCGTACGACTCGATACGCACACATCCGTCCACCAAGCCGCTGTGTTTGTAGAAGCACGCCTTGAATCTCCCGGCTGAGCAACATTAGGCTGCTCCCATGGGGAGCATTCTACGAGGATAGATACACGGCACTTCACAATACGTTGGTAATCCCTGATGTCCTGGTCCTGAGCAAAGATACGACCGTCCTAGAAACACTGCGTTCAAACCTTCCTGCAATCCCACATCACATCCCGACTCACAGTGGATTTGAAGCTAAGATGCAGACGCGCTATGAACTATTACGAGCAGGAAGCAATCGATTCGTGTAGCTTGCTTACCGGCATCGTCAAATGCACAAGATCATTATCGTTTTCGGAAATGCGCCTTCACGGCCGACGGTTCCTCCACGTTTTTTGACAGTAATATTGCAGCGTTGGGCCCGAGAATTTAATAGGCGAACGCGGCGCAACCCATTTTGTGTTACAAAATAGTGATTCCTAAGATGAAAGTCAAAATCTCTCACAATCTTCGAAAAACCGAACCCAGGTCAGCACATGGTCCGCCCAGGTGGAGTCAGCCAACTAGCTCCATCCCGCGCCGGAATTTCTGTAGCTCATCGATTCCGCAGAGCTCTACGAGGTACCGGGAGCCGGCGGTAAACCGTCAAGCAGGTTACGATATGAAAAGAAATAATGTTCAATTTTTCGAGATGCCTCCAGAAGCTCAGTCTTTCGACTCTGAGCACTTTTATACATGGAAGGATCTCGACGAGGTTGCCGGCGGTGACCAGGTTGGCGGTTTACCGCCGGCGCCAGTAATTCCGGGGCGCTGGAGAGTTAGTTGGTCAGAAACATCTCGCCGGACCTTTTGCTGAGTTTTGGTCGGTTGAAAATTTTGCTCTCGAAATTCAACAATTCGTTTGAGCTCTAGTATTTTTTCCCGTGATATTCGATCTTATTCCCGCTCGCCGTCTTGATCTCTGCTCGATCGGGTACCTTTCACCGTCAAAAAGCACTGCGGCGGGATCGGCCGTTTCGGGTCATCTTGAGGGCGGTGACGGTTTTCTTAAGATAACTCGAGCTATAGAAGAGCTACAGAGCTGATGCTTTCAGAAACTGATTCAGAATCATCAGACGGATTTGTCTTCTGAGTGCAGAGGTCTGAGTCTGCTGCTCGAGCTAGGTCCGCGAAAGAGTCATCTTGAGAGGTGCTGTCGGTTTTCTGTACTTAACTCGGGCTCTAGGAGGGCTAAAGGGCACATGAACCGATTCGTAGACATCAGGCGCCGCCTGTCGCATGCTGCTTGACGGGTCTTGCACTCGGCTGGTCTGCCGAGTCTGCCGCAACTATTCCTGTATCGACAGTGGTGCTGGGCCAAAGATGTTTGTGCCACTGCCCAACGGATGTCGGTGCCGCTGCCCGACCCTGTGCGGTTTCAAGGATCACAGCTCGTGCCGCCACCGGTTTCAGTTACAGCGGATTCCCAGGTATCCAACTACGGGTCCCAGGTGACCCCTGTGACGAGAAACCGACGGAGGATGATTAGCCAGATGCAGGGAAGAGCCCAAAAACGACGACGTATCGACATCCCTGTGGCCTCGCAACAGCCTCCACAGAGCCGCTATGTTCACTTGGACAGCTCTTACGGTAACACTGCGCACAAACGACGACGGGTACTGGGTGATCTGGGGCCTGAGACGTACATCCTCACTCTCTCTCGCTTGTGCATGCTGCATGCTGTGTCGCCGTGGGCCGAGGAGAGGGGTGCTTTCATTCGCACTCTTGATTCGAAGGAAGCCCGTGTGCTAACCAGGCGCCGCGAGGGCGGCCGTCCTGCAGGCTTCCCTCCATGGTCGCTACCGTTCGAGACGGTGGGAGGCCCTTATTGGTATGCTAACTTGACCTGGGACGAGCAGGGGTGGAGATATTGTACACTGCTGCGTATGTGGGACCTACCGCGCGTGCTCCAATACTGTGTCCTGATCCCAAAGGGCCGTACAGGATGGAGGCGGAGGACCTTGCGGTGGAGGAGAAGCGTAGGAAGGAGGAGGCGGAAAAGGAGAAGGCTACAAAACGTATTGCACTGAACGAACAGCGTCAGTCTTGGTGGGACTTTGGGTCCAAGGGTTTACCAATTGAAATCTCGGGGGACTCTCTGGTGATCTGTAACTGGATTGACGGTCTATTTAGATGTACTACTGACGTGTATTCGACGACGGTTTCTGCTATTCAGGACTTACTTGATTCTATGTCTGTGTGGAGATGCCCATGCACATTCGCGCCCCCTCACGGGGATGTGATATGACGAGAAGGATGTATCGGGGAGGGAACACGAGAGCTGATGAACAGACTTGGATGGCTCGCAGGGGCCAGGACCACTTGACAATCGATGACAGGTTATTTACAATGAGTGCTTCGAGCGTGCTCGGTGTGAGGGGCTTC